TGCTTTTGCAGTAAGGCTTGTGCAGATGCACGGGTGTGCCCTGACCAGTTGTTTGGGTACAGGAATCTTCTCCCAGACACCTGTCAAACAGACTTGTCTGTTGGAAGAAGGCTCCGTAAGGTTGTCAGAGACATCAGAAGAGACCCAAGGCAGGTGCCTGTGTCGTCCTGTTTGGATCTTGGTGTGGTTTGGTCCGTGAAATAAACGTCCTCAGAGGTCAATCCAAGGGATCCAAAGATCTCTTCCCTTTCGCTCTCAGTGATTTGCCACAGAGGGCAAGTGTGGCTCTTTCCAGGCACTTGGGAGGGCAGGGGTAGACTGCTCGGTAGAGGGCGAGGAGCAGGTCGGTATTCTCCAGGCTGAGTGTTTGTGCGCCTTTGGCAGTTGAATGACCAGGCAAGCGCTCGGGAGCTCCCTGCCCTCTCTTGCATTGCCCGGCAGTGCAGCTTCCCTTCCCTTTACTTTTGAGAACCGATCTTTCTCTCTGGTACTGAGCGGTGCAGATCCACTTTCACAGCAGGGAAGAGGCAGACGGTGCTTGGGGGCCACCGATGTAGGTTGGTTCCTCCAGGCTTGCTAAGAGGAACCATCGACGGGCCGGCTGCAAAAGGGCCCATTGGATGCAGAAGTCTCTCTCTCTGTCTCTCTCAAACCTTGGCATTTGCACGAGGCCAGCAGGCTCCGAAAGAGGAGAGTCGGCTGTCTAGATGGGCCACTTGCCTGGGCAGGTAAAAGGCTGCTTGGCGTGTTCTCTCTGTGGTAGCTGCCACCGGCTCCTGCAAGGAGGGCCCACTTGGCCTACAGCCCGTCTGTGATGGTGTCGTGTGATGTAGGAATTCCTGGGTCAGGTTGGCTAGGCTTACCTCTTTTGGTCCTAGCCTCATGGTTCACATCACATAGAGTCACAGGGGGAGAAACATATGCTATCCATGGCTGGCCGTTTGGCCAGCTTCCATCCTTTGGCCACCCCAGTCTTTGGGGCGTCAGCATGGGAAATGGTGGAGTGCTGGAGAGCCTCCCATGCCGGGAGCAGCCAGGGCAAACTCCTGCCCCCGGTAGCCTCCTGACCCGACGCAAGGACGGCTCCCCACCTTAAGAAAAGCAGCAGCAGCAGCAGGCGTGAACCCCCAAAGCCAGCTTTCGCCCTTCATCCCTTTTCCTCAATGAGTCTGCAACTCTTAGCAGGCAGTGTGACGTCGGGGCACCCCACGAGGCATCTTGGGTGCAGATGAGCCTTGGTACTCTCACGGTGGCAGGGTTTGTAGTGTGGCCGCTGGCCGGCACGAGCGGGCTCTCTGCGGTGTGCCTGCGTTCTAGGTCAGGAGCTGAACTGCCGCTGTGTTTAGAGCAAACGGTGAACAGACAGCCATGACCCTTCGCTGGTGAGCCCACGGCATCCATCCCGTCTTCCATGCGGTCGGGAGTGAAGTGTCTCAGAGGACTTGAAAGAGCATGCGGTGAGGGGAGCCCCAGCGAGAGGAACCTCTGAAACGCTGCATGCGCTTTCCCAAGCAGAAGCCCACGGCTAGCCCCACTTGCCTCCTTGGAAGGGATGCCGTCTCTGGCCAGGGGTGAGATGGGGGTCGGAGTCTCAGGGGGAGGTGTTGCGCTCCAGCTTGGTGCCGAGAGAGGTCTCTGCTATCCCTACGCCAGCCTGCCAGCCTCACCAGCAAGTTCTCTTCTCCTGGTGGGCCCGGGGGGGGGAGCTCTCCCCAGGCCCACCTCCCTGCCAGGGAAACATGAGCTGTGATACTGTAATTCTCTCTGATTCATTTCAGCTCAGTTTGCTGCCTTTCTGAAACAAAACTTGCTGGTGAGGAAATCTCTTCCTCCTGGCACTTCTTCATGCCTCGGTGGTGAGTATCCTCCCCTCTTCCTGCCTCCACCACCCCTCTCCTCCCCCAGCCCCCTCTTTCCTGTTGCTGCTGCTGCTGCTGCTTCGACGGGGTGGATGCGAGTCTATGGTGCTTCTGGCCCTTCTCTAGCCGAGTCATGAGAAACACAGGCTTAGGGCAGGAGCCCCACCTTCCCCCCCATGCCCAACTGCACTTCTTGTGTCGCAGTGACCAGATAGGTGGGATATAAATAGAATAAATAAATTGCATGGCCGGTAAAGGATCTCTTCCTTGGCAGTTCTTTTAAAATGGGGTCAGGGTTGGGACGACCGCTTTTCTAGAGGGCCTGGGTGCTTCGTCCCGGAGTGACCTGTGCCCACCTGTGTTTTCTGTGCTGCCCGTGGAACACCAGCCGCTGCAGACCGCCAGGCCAGCCCAGAAGGGAGCAGCGGACTCAGGAGGTTCCTGCTGCTGCTGCTGCCGTGGCCTATTGTAGTCCTCGGCTGGGTCCAGAGGCAGCAGGTTGTCACCCTAGGGGTGGACTGTGGGCCCTCCCTGTGAAATGGGAACCAGGCACATTGGACCTGTAGTGGGGTGGGGTGGACTCCGAGACGCCTCTGCAAACTCCCTGCTGTAACAGGGAGGAGGTGGACACCTGTGTGGATGATTCATTTCTTCTGTGAATTTGCATGGCAGGCCCGTAGCCGGCGCCTCCAGTGGGTCTGGGCCGATATTTGGTTTGTCTGCATCTCTTCTGCCTACCAGAAGCCCAAAATACTTCAAAGTTTGAAAGCATCCACAAGTCTTGCTACTATTAAAAGTTGCAAATAAGAAATAATTCAAAAGCAAAACCTAAGTTGCAGGAAAATGCTTAGAATCAAAACGCATGGAATACATCTCTAAAATATCAGTTATTAAAATTAAGAAAATATCTTTCTCAGCCTGTAAGTCTATTAAGCACATTTTTGTTGTTTAGTCATTAAGTTGTGTCTGATTCTTGGTGACCCCATGGACCAGAGCACGCCAGGCCCTCCTGCCTTCCACGGCCTCCTGGAGTTGGGTCAAACTCATGTTGGTCGCTTCAATGACACTCTCCAACCATCTCATCCTATGTCGTCCCCTTCTCCTCTTGCCTTCACACTTTCCCAACATCAGCGTCTTTTCCAGGGAGTTTAATTAAGCACATACACGGAATAATTCTAAATGCTCACCCAGCTAAACCAGTTTGAGTCTATGGAGGGAAATCCATGGTGATTGTCTGCTGCCATTGTTGCTGCTCTTTGATGTCTGGTGTCCAGAGTGGAGTGGAGTTGTTATGATGCAATGGGTTCCTCTGCGTGTGCATGTGTGTGTTTTCCTCTGTATTAATAGTTCTTTCAATGAGCACTGTTTGTGAGTGGAATAAGGCTGCCTCGAGAGGTGGGAGATTCTCCTTCATGGCAGGTTTCCAAGTGGAAGTCTGATGGCCACCTGTCCAAGTAGCCTTATTTTAAGGGGGTAGGTCTCCTACCCAGCAAGGCACTGGATTTAATGGCCCTTGAGGTCCCTCCGAGCTCTTGGAGTCTTCTAATCGTGGGTTAAGAGTAGACCTTTGGTTTAGATGGGCGGAAGAGAAATCCAGTAAATAAATAAATAAAATTATCTGTGGCATATATTTTGGTGCTAACGTGCCCGTCCTGGTCCTGTTGGCTTGCAGGCAGGTCATGCTCAAAATTAATCAGACTCATTTCCAAGGCAAAGAAGACCGTGTCAGAATGGCCGGCGTGTCTTGGTGATTTCGTTGGGAGTTGGTTGCTAGTTCCTCTCCTTAGGGGGCTGCAGCCACACTGTGAACCTGGTGTCCTCTGGTAGAAAAGGCAGGTGGTGTTTTGAAATGGAAGTCAGAAGCCCTTCTGGATGCGGCTCACGTTTGCCTGTTGTCCCCTGCCTCTGTGTCCTGCAAGCCCTCATTCTTGCTTCCAGTCTCCCGTCGTACTCTTCTGTCATTGGAGGAAGGTACTTGTGGAAAATTTATCTTTCGTTCCAGTAACTGGTGAAGCAGGAGGTGGCTTTGGTGGCAGAGAAGAAGGGCCTGTTTGGTTCAAGGGAACCCAGAGGCCTTGCTTTGCACAGAGTGGCTTGGAGGAAGCTGCAGAGGTGCGCACAGCATCTCTCCGGGGCGGTGTCGGCTGTTGCCCTATGGTCTCCATCTCCAATGAGCCACCTGTTTTGCCTCTTCTGTTTCCAGTCTCTTCGGAGCAGCAGCTGGAGGCTGGCGAGAAGGAAGACCTGCTACGAACGCAGCTGAAACGGCACCAGGCCCCCAGCCCCACGCATGGCAGCAAGCCGTCTAAGCGGGCCAAAATCAAAGTTACCATCGTCTCCCACGGGGAAGCTGCTGGTGCTGGGAATGGAGCGCCTCTCGAGGGACCACCAGAAAGTGAGTCCTGGGAACTGGAGCGAGCTGGGCAGGAGGGGAGAGGGGAGGACGGGGAGAGGGGCCGCACGTGGGAGGATTTCTGAAGTTCCAGCAAAGTAAGTCATGGACAAAGCAGGTGAGTTAAAGGTCTGTGCTTGCTAGTGTGCCAGGTCTTGTCCATTGGCTTAGTTCCAGAGAATAATTTTATTTTGTAAATTGTTTTACGAGCCATCTGTATTTGCAGTTTGTATTTACAGAGTATGAAAAACACCAGAGGCACACTGCCGTCTTGGATTCAGAGGAGATAAATAAACCATAAGCCAACAGACAGAAAACAAATGTGTGCTAGACCAAAAGGCTGTCTTGCAGTGGCTCTTGTTCCAAAGAGGAGTCCTTGCTCGCTTGGGCCGTTGAATGCCCTCTCTGTTTCAGAGGGTCTGGTGGAGACCTGTGTGTTGTGCAGCAGTCTGCAGAAGGGCCAACTCACCCTTAGCTCCTTTGGTGGATCCCGGTTAATGAACGGCAAAGCTGTACTGTGTAAGCTAAAGGGAAAAGGAGCAAAAGAGACCCCAGGAGGTACTTTGCTAACCGTGGAAGCTGTTTGTGGGGCTGCCTTTTTACATGGGCCACAAGGGGTGTCCGGACATCTGGGGTGGCGGCGTTTGCTGCGGATCTTTCCGTTTATGAGCTGCTGTTCCCTGGGCAACGTGGTGGTTCGGGCAGATGGGTGAAGCCGTGCTGCTTCCTGGAACCAGCTGACTTTCACAACTGTGCTCGGGGATCTGGTCTGCTTCCACACCAATCAAAAGCTCAGAGGTTTTCACCAAAAGTCTCTTCGGGGGACTTCCCGTCCCCCTTGCCCTAGAAAAGAAGACCCCTCTGAGACTCTGGTGCCCGGTTTCACTGGAAGAACTCCCTTTCTTGTTCTCAGGAATATTTTGACAGAGGAGGCTGGTTTCCCAGTGTGGTCACAGGTCCAGGGCTTAAGGAAGGTCACAGAGGAGAGATTTCTCCAGCCAGTGTGAAGCAAGCAGGCATTTTGACCGGTTTCCCTTTAAAGCCTCTGACACACAGATGTTGGAGAGTAAAGATGCTGTTTTCGCCCTTGACAAACCCCCACAAGTAGGCTGGCCAGGCAGGCTCGGATGGGTCACTGCTCTCTTCATGAACATCCTCTATGGCTTCCTTGTGCAGTAGTGAACAAATGGCTTCACCAAGAATGAGGGGAACCTTCCAAGGGAGGGGGCCTTCTTGGTGGCTGCTTTGAAGTGCACAGCCCTGAGAATCCAGGTTGCCCCCCCACACACACACCTCTGATCTTGCCATCATCAGGCAGAGACCTTGCCAGGCTTTTGAGCAATAAAGGTCTCAGCAGTGCTCTGTGTTTGAAATGTAGATATTTTCAAATATTTTTGAAGGTGTTTTTAAACCTCTGTTTGAATCTTGACTGTTCGTGTTTTAATATAGTTTTGTATAGTATTTGAAATCTTTTATTCTTGTACTGTTTTAATTGTTATGAGTCAGCTGGATTCCTCTATGGGAAGAAAGGCGACAAATAAATAATACAAGTAAAGTGAGAAGTGGGATTAGCATGTAGTGCAGCCGCCTCGTGCCCAGTGATTCATGTTAGTGCCTGAGCTAAAGGTGAACTCGGTGAGTGCCCAGCTGTGTGAAGAACGTGGGTGGGGAAGCCAGTGAGCGAAGGCCTTGGGGTTCTTGCCAGAGAGGCCTGTGGATCCTTCCCTCCCTCCCTCTAGAAACCAATCCTTCCAGGAGCTCAGCGCTTGGGCCATATTGTCCTAGCAACCCTGCGAGGCAGGCCAGTGTGTGTCACAGAGGATGGAATGAACCTGTTCATGTGCACGAGGCCCAGAGACGTCCAAAGCTCCTAAAGCTGTTTCACTCTTGGTTAATTCCACAGTCGATTTTTTCAGCGCACGAATTAACGGATCTGTGTTCAGTCGCTGAAGCATGAATTTTTCAGCTTGGAAAGTCTCTCTTTTTTTTAATTATCCAACTTTATTTCTCTTCACAGAAAATAATGAAATGCAGAAGTAAACTTGAACCAAACAGGACTTCCCTCTTCCCATACATGGACAGGAGGAATATGCAAGATAAAAAATCAATTTGTATCAAATTTTAAGAGAGAGAGAGAGAGAACCCATTGCAATAAATGCATGATTTTAACTTGTTTCCGTCCCTGTGTATTTTATAAAAACGTTAGAAACATTCTGGCAATGCGTGTTGGATTAAGTCACCCTGCTCTGAACTAGCGAATGAAAAAGAGACAGGAAAGGCTGGAGGAGTTAGATAGAAAGGAAAGCTAGAAATCCTATTCACAGATGTGGGATCCTCGGAAATGTGGGCCTCTGCCTTCAGACCTGAAGGCCTGGGTTTCCTATCCTCAGCGGTAGGGGCTGGTTTTTGCCCAGAGCCCTTCGTATCCAGCAGCATCAGCAGCAGTTTGCAGTCTGCTTGTTTCTTCTTTTTAGAAGAAGGGTCATGGCCTGTCTCGTACCTTCTCTCAGTATTAGCTTCTGTAGGGCTGGAGGCCATACCCTCCAGCCTCTTAGATGCTCTGCCTGAGAGGTTCAAGGCTGCCAGAGGAGAATTTGATTCCACTTGCTTCTTCTTCTTCTTCTTCTTCTTTATTATTATTATTCAGCAGTGGCTGCAGGGAAGCCTCCTTCTGTGTCTTTGGGACAGGCGGTGGTGAGTGCGAAGGAGGCAACAGGATTGCTTCCCTCTTCCAAGTGAGTACCAGTGAATCTCTGACTGGGTGGATTCAGGATCATGTGAGAGGGTGGTCTCTTTGCTCTGAGTAGCCCCATCCTTGGGCCATTGGCACAACGATCCAGCAGGGCTCTCCTTAACCATCAGTTTAAACCTGTGCCTTGATTTAAAAAAAAAGTCTCAGGGCCGGTTTCAAACAGACCTTCCCCCAGTAACTTTACTGGAAATGTGAAATAGCATTTTTGAAAACAAGGTGTATATATTCAGACATCTTTTTATTTAAAACATTCATTTTTTAATCCCTGTATTCCATAAAGAAAGGTGAGTGGTAGGTAATAAGCATAGTGCTGTCTGCCAGAGGAGGATGCAAAGGGCTGCATGCTAAGAAAATAACAGGTGCATGTTTTTCCAAACAATACCTGCCCTGAAAAATTGATCTGCCCCCTTGGGTGGGGCAGACCCCCACGGACTGAGAATCACTGTTTTGATCTGCCGTGTATGCATGTGTGAATTCTTAGCCCAGCACAGTCAGCAGTGTTGAGAAGTCGTTCGGCGTGGCGCATGCCGTGGGCCTGAGTGTCCTGGAAAGCAGGCTCTCCAAACAGATCTCTCTGGGGGCCCACGTGCATGGGAGCAAACCCCACATTTTGAGCCAGAGCAAAGAGAGACACGGGGTCTATGCGCAGTTGCAGTGGCTGCATGTACAGAAATTGTGGATGAGAAAAGATGTTTGCCTGTGAGTCTTGCTGAGGCTTTCCCTGTAATTTAACTGTTGTTTTTTTCTTTCTGTTCCTCCTCCCTCCCCCCACCCAGGCCTGCTTCTGTAGCAGCAGAAAGCCCCGCTGCCAGTCCCGGCCCCTCGGCCACCATCCCGAGCAGCACAGCCCCGAGTGCATTCCATTCTCTGCAGAACAGACTGGGGGGCAACGGCGCTCCTTGCCTGCAGGCTCAGCCCACCGGTGCGCTCCAAGGTAACGGCTGGTAAATGGTCTCCTTCTCCAGAAGGCCTCTCGGGGTCGCCCTCGATTGATCACCTTGGTGCGTCTCCAGAGCAGCTGCTGTCCTAGATCAGAGATTCTATCCAGAATATCCTTGGGAATTCTGCCACAGTGATAGATGGAGCAGAGCTCCTGTTTCATTTATTTATTTATTTTTCTTTCTGAGTTTGTATCCTGCCAACCTTCCACATGAAGTGAAACCAGGAGTGGGGCACTGACGGTTCCAGATAAAATCCATACGGGTCATCAGTTAAAACCACCACTAAAACCATGACCTATAATAGAATAAATACGAGAGAGCTAGCAGTGGGGACCCTTTTGATTGGTCCTTGTAAAGAGAAGAGTGTGGGTCCCGGATGGGTGTTGTGGGTGAGTGTATTCCAGAGGGGCCACCACCGAGAGGGCACACATTCCATTTGCGGAGACAAAGGATGGCTCGGGAGGGGCGAATGTCCTCTAGAAACAACCCATCCCCACCACCACCACTGAGTCAGGAGATGACGGCAGTGCTCTTAGCCGGCTGTCCAGGGTTGCCAAAGCCCCGCTTCCTCTTAGGCGTTGCCCCCCAGGACCACAACCAGGTGTGGAGTGTCTTTTTGTTTCTTCTCTTCAATGTCTCCTCAGGGGCAGCTTCGGCCAGCAGCCTCCTGCAGGGCCTGAGTTTCAGTCTGCAAGATATCGGCACGAAAGCAGCCCCTCTCCCAGCGAGCGTTGCTGCGGCGGGGCCTCTGGTGCAGGTAGGCCTGCGTGGGCCCGGTTGAGGAGGGGGGGAAATCTGGGGCTCAGCAGGTGGGAAGCGGTGGAGGTAGAACAGAAGAGGGGTGAAACAGAGACTGACAACAGGCTCCTCGGTGTGCTTTGGGGAAGCAAACCCACCCCCACCCCCGCTGCCACCTTCTGCATGCCACATTCACATTTTGATTGAAGTGGATTGTTTGTTCCAAAATTGAGGAGAGGTGCAAGGCAGATTCCACTGGGGAGAAATCTAAATGGAAGAAGGATTTGAGGCCAGGTGGGAGCCTGCAGAGGAAGCCAGGTAAAGGGATGCTTGAGTCGCCCCCTCTGTCTTTGCAGGAAGGCTGGCGAGGGGGGCAGGCGGTGTGTCTCGTCATCTGTATTTCTTGGCCCAAGGGATGCCTTTCACACGGCAGGCACGCCCAGCATCTGTTGGGAGCGACACAGCTAGCCCGCGTAACTGGATAGAGCAACCTTTCGTTTAAAACAGGGCCGACAGCTGTGATGGGTCTGAGGGGCCAGCTTTCTGCATGACCCACCCACCAAAAATATGAAAAATGGGGGAGAGAGAGAAACTGCAAAAGTCAGGAGTCCCCATCTGTGTTAGAAAGTGATGTTTTTTGTTGTTGAACATGGCAGGTGTGGCCGGGGGGGGGAGACTGTTGCTTCTTTTAAAGGTGAGTGGAGTTTTTCAAGGAAGATGGCTTACCATCTCTGGCTTTGGAAACCACCTGGCCCCGTTTCTCTTCCTCGCAACCCCTTCTCTTTGGCACCTTGCAGACCTCAGCCCTCAAGTCTCCAGCACCCCTGCAGAACCTCAGCACCATCACCACCAGCACAGGCACCCTGGTGCGCACCATCCCCGTTGCCACAACCTTGTCCTCTCTCGGCACCTCGGCCAGCGGGAAGCCCACCACGATTCACCAGCTGCTCACCAATGGAGGGCTGGCCAAACTGGCAAGCAGCCTTCCTGGCTTGGCTCACATCTCTGGTCAAGGGTCAGGTAAGAGCCTGAGGGCCGTGGCCAAGCAGGGAGCCAGTGTTTCTCCCCTGGGTTGGGGGGGGCTGATGGAGCTTTCCCTTGGATGAGCACAGCGCTGTTTTGGGCTTCCCTGGTGTGTGCACACTAAGATGAATGAAAGAATCGGCTGCCCTCGGCACTTTAAGGTGACCGTCCTGTTTCCTCCCCCAGAATGTGTATCGTAGAATACACGGGGATGCAAGAGGGCAGGTTTACGTTGGCTGAGCCCAAACGAAGTCACTCTCAAAACCTAAGACTGAGGAAGCATCAAGCAGATCGCTGTTGGTGGGCGGGGGGGGGTGTATTTCCCCCAGGCTTCTGTGGCTTGGAATCTTTGAATGAGGAGGTGCAGGATAGTATCACGGCTGGTGTGCGTCCTGCCTGGAATGGTCAGGCTGCACGTCCCACACTGAATTAGGAAGCCCTGTGGGCCAGTCACTCTCTCAGCCTGATCTGGCTCACAAAGTGGCTAGGATAATAAAAGGCCAACCCTTTCAACTCCTTGGGTGAGAGGCAAATGTCGTTTTCACACATACGCACGCACGCACGCACAGAGAGAGCTAGGGGCAGGAACCCTGTTGAGGTTGTGCTCTGACCAGTGCCTTCGGCCTCGGTTCCTCCGCGCTCTCCGGCCCCTGCTCCAGGAAAGGCCATTTGGAGCCCTTCTTCCCCGAGAGGCTGCTCTTGCCGTGTGTGTGTGTGTGTGTGTCTCCTGCTGACTCTTCCCTCCCCTCTGCTAGGCTTAAAAGCCCCGACCACCATCACGGTGACCCTGCGGGGACAGGCCAGCCGGGTCGCCCCCCTCAGCCAAGCCCCCCTGGGCGCAGCCCAGCCCCCGCTGGAAGAGCCCCTGCCGCATCTCCTGCCGCCTCTGCCACAGCCGCTCCAGGTAACGGTGGAGGCTGTCCCGGGGGGGGGGAGAAGAGGGGCTGTTGTGTGTCCACAGAATAAGCCTTCAGCAGACTCCTCTCCATCCCTTCACGCATTCCTGTGGTTTCTACCAAGCCTTCAGCCGATCTGAGGGCTCAGCAGGAGGTTGGAGCTGCTGCCTTGTGCACGACTCCGTTTTCTAACGGCCTCTTTGACGAAGGCCGCCTTGAGGGACCGTCCTAGGCCCCATGCCTCCTGACCAGGGCTCCGCCATTTCCGGCTCCCTCGGCGGTGGCGTGGCTGAGGAGCTGAGAGGCCCTTCTCCATTTTGGGGGCCCTCCCGAGCATTGTCAGATGGGAGATCCTTCAGGCACCAGGCAGAGACCCTTTTGTTTATTGACCCAGCATGTTGGCTAAGCCTTTTGCAGCATTTGGCTTGTTGTCGTTCTACCACTGTTAATGCACCTTGGTTTTACCTGACCCTTTTTAACATTTTCGGACACGGTGGGAGGTTTGCAAAACAAAACGAGAGCACAGAGACACACCTGTTCCACCAGCCGCCTCCGCCCACGGCCGGGTGGATTTCGCTGCTCTCTTTGGTCCCCCCCCCCCTTATTCCTCCTTAAACTTAAGTGGCCTAGTTTGCGATGGGGCTGCTGGAGTCTTGAGCCAGGGCCAGGGGCAGCTGTTTCCACATGCAAGAGAACGGAAAGGAACAGGACAGAAGGATGACCTTTGAGGAAAGGAAGGAGTCTCTTGGAACAGGACAGAAGGATGACCTTTGAGGGAAGGAAGGAGTCTCTTCCTCAACGAATGGCATGCTCAGTCCTTTACTTATTTGGGCAGGAATCCCACTCTTTTTGTTTGTGGCGATAGTGACCCGCTTGGGCCTTCTGTTAGCTGGTTAGAAATGTCCTCTCAAGCATCCTTCCCTATGGATCTATGTTAAATTGCTTCAGGTTCCAGATGGTGCCATGGGGAACATGGCCGGCCAGGCTTCCAGCGCTGCTTCTGCCGGCAAGCCGTTGCCTCAGGTGGAGCTTGGAAAAATCCACGCAAGCACAGAGATGCCTTCTACAGATCCGGCATCTCAGCCAAGCTCAGCAGCCGCTGTAGGTGAGAGACAGCAGCTATGCCACAGGCGGGCAGGGCCTCACGGCTTAAAGGTCTTCTGTAATGGGTGCTGGATGTGGCCCGCCAAGCACTTTCCTGGCGGTGTCTGCCTCCCAGCCGGCACCTCTAGGAGCTCAGGAGGGAGGAGGTAACCTCCTGCAGAGGCCAGATGTATTTCTACCAGAACCCCAAAGAAGTGGCCCATCTCGGCTCCTGATCCAAAGCGCAACGGGAAATGGGAGGCAATGACATACATGGTGACTGGGGATGGCCTGGGGCGACTGCATGGCCTGAGACTTAAGAGTCCTATCTCTTGCCACTGCTAAGGAGGCAACAGGACCGGGGGCAGAGGCGGGGGAGGGGAAGGGGGGGAGGGGATTTCTTCTCAGAGTCTGAGTGCCTTCTGTAGGAAAATTGGAGCTTGATTGTAGAGGTGTTGAGGCACAGATGCCCAAACAGTGACCTCTCTCTTCTCCTTCGCCCATAGTAACCACCACAAGCCCCATGAAGACGCTCTATGTGATGTCAGATGCCAAACTGTCTGCCCTCACAAAATCTGTCATGGCGGAAGCAGCAGCCGTCCCCCTGAAGCCCGCCACCCTTCAGGCAGCCGCCGCCGCCGCCGCTGCCCCCTCTTCCCCTCTTGGAGCGGTGACCTTTGCCACCTCCACCCCGGCCAGCACGGCCTGCAGCCTGGTGCATTCCAAAGTGCGGCCCGTTTTGCAGACAGCCTCCAAGACGGTCATCTTGACCTCCACGCTAACCGCCATGAAAGGCGACCGGGCCCTTGGACAGAGGGGGGAGAAGATGACGGCCCCGACCAAAGGACCCGTGGAAACCCTGGGCAGGGTGCCTTCAGTCATGGACGACAGCAGCACCATCCTCCACACGCGGGAGAGCGTCCCGAGCAGGCACTTGCTTCCCCAGGGCCTCCTGCCCACGGCAGCTGGAACCACGCTCATCACCCTGGGCAGTAGCCTGGCCGGCTCCTCCATCATCGCCACCGCCGGGCCGGCCCTTGGCCACAAGCCGTAGGGCAAGCTTCCCAGAAGCCAACTGTCCTGCTGGCTCCACCTACACAGGGGTGGAAGATGAAGCTGGGCTTTGGAAGCACATGTATTGCTTCCTCATTCCTGTTCTCCATGAGGAGGACCCGCCTGCTCTTTTTGTTTCTCACTTTTAACCTGATCCAGCTGTCCTTTTGTGTACAGAACATTTAATTACATCTGTAAGGGAGGGAGATAAACTTTTCCTTAAAATGCTGTGCTCTTTTGTGGAGTTTGTGTCGGGGTTTCTTTTTTCTGGGAAGTTTTTAAAGGTGGGGAAGTATTTGACTCCCGGTGCGAGGATGGTAATATTTCTCTGGTGGGAGCCCTAAGAAGCCTTAATTTCAGAACAGTAGGATATACGAGACAGGAAAGGCCTTTTTTCTAGATGAGTGTTGTTAAAGGCTGTGCTTAGGAGCTGAAAGGGTCATGGACTGAGGTGTTGCCGGAATGGAGAAGCCGCATTATAGCCTGCGGATCATTCTTGGTGCCATCTTCCCATGGTGCAAAAAGCACTCTTCACTTTGACCAGAGATTTCTTAATTCAATTCTTGTGTCTCTTGGTGGTGGATCTGGATGGTAATGCCTCAGTTTATGAACTGACAGCTAAACCAGACAAGAGTACAGACACAACTTTTCAGGAATCTTCAGTGCTGGACATGTTTATTTGGCTCCAAAAATACAGGTGAGTAGTTCAACACCATTCCTGTTAGCACTAGAAGTTCCATTGTGCCACAATCTTTCCTTGATGACAGGAATCAGACTGAGGATTGGCCGCATGCTTTTACCAGACTGACACTGGGTTTTACACACAACTTTGTAAGTTTAGGTAGAGAAATGAAACCAGTGATAAAAAGAATCTGAGCTCAGCACACCCAGATTTAATGATGGGTGCAAATGAGTTTGGCCCATAATACTTCTGGGATTTACATACACTCTTGTTTCCAAATCCATTCCTATAGATCTTCCTTCCTTCTATCTGCTCTCTTAAGGCATCAATAAACAGACTTCTAGCTTTGTATTATCAGACCTGGTGACCCCAAAAATACAAAGTTAAATGTATTCCTTGTTTAAAATGCATGCCATCTGAAAAAGCACACACCTATGATTTCTGTGGGCCAAGACTGGCATGATTAAGATGCAGACACCACTTGCAACATTTCTCCATACATAAACTGTACAGTCTTCAAATGAATATTTTTGGAATGTAGTACGGAATTCCTAACACAGCTGCAAGTCCCCAAAAAGTGTGAACTGAAATATATCAAACTCAGAACTGTCACAGAATTCTGTAATGTGATGAACACAATTATAAAACTGCTGGTTTTTTTTCATCACAAGTAGATAACATACATTCTTAAACGCATGATCAAATTGTCTTGCGTTAGACTTGGATCTAATCTACACATGATGAGTACAAACATGCAGGGAGAGCACACAGGCAGGTTTCCTTATTCACTGCGACGGAAGATAAAGCTCCACACAAAAACCCCATGGATGGGGCACTAGCATTTGCTCCATCTAAGTGAAAAGGGGAGCTTTGCGCACCAACCAAAGGTTCCACACTTGAATGGGAGCAAACAATATGTTAGCAATGGACTCCCTTCACATCTTCTTTGACAAGGAACTCCGGCCTGTCTGAAGGCAATGTTTTTTCTTGGTGTGACCGGTAGCAGATAAGGATTTCATAAAGGAATAAATAAATGCAGGGCACTCTGCAATGGGGGTGATGGCTGTAGGTGAAGAAGCTTACAGTTCTTTTTGTCTGCTATTTACGGTTATCTAGTTCCAGGTTGACTCCATGCATGTCAGCATCTCCCAACACGATCTCTGGGAATAAGCCGTAATTCTGAACCATGCTTCAGGAAAACATTTCCTAGCAAGAGAAAAGGGGACATTGTTACCTAAGAGTATACATACACAACACTAGGGGTATTGTGCTTACTTTTTTAAGGCAAAAAGGTTCATCAGACTTTAGAGTACCTGACAATTGGGGAAGAAATCTCCTTTGGTCTGAAGGGCCACAGAAGAAAAAAACACATTAACACTCATTCCCTCTATTAGGGCCCTCTGGACATTCTCTCATCCAGCAGAGCGGTGGACTGAAAACATGCAGATACACTTAAGAGGCTTTCTGGGAAAGCAAACCGATGAAGTACCTGAGCTTGCCCTCCTAAAGGAAGTTGGGAGAGGCAGCTTTAACAATGCCACCATGAAGCCCTTTACAAATGTTACAAGATGGCAAAACCTGTTATTTCTTACTGTGGTAACAGATTAACATAAATCAGGATTTCACCTTGAGCTGTTTGTAGGTGATCTGTAGCAAACGTTCTTTCAATAATATTGTACTAAAACCTCTGTCCTTACTTACCTGCTGTCTGTGCAGGATTTATTCCTATTCCATCTAGGGGGAAACATAAGTAAGTTAATTCACACACAGAAATTTTGATTAACCTTTCCCCTCACTGATCAGTGTGCCTGAAGCTGTCTCAGAGAAGTCAACTGTTAACTACAGAAAGCCTAAACAATATCCACAGGGAGCCTCTCTCCTTAACTCCTGTGATATGTACAAAGGAGCACGGCCCTCTGTGGTTCCATTAACAGCAAGGACCAGCCAAGTTTCTGGATCATGCTCCTTGCTGCTAAACCTTTCAGGCAGCTTTTTACATCTTGTACCCAGTAACAGCCAAACATCGCTCTTGTAACCTTTTTGCTTTAAACCACGCCAAGCCAATGAATCAACTACTGACTTGGAGGTGTGGCAAGCCCTTGGAGCCATCTTCCTTTCCTTCTTAATGAAGCTCTGATAAACGGAAAGCTCCAAAACTGATGGAGGATTTCTTCCTTCTCAGCCATCTGAATCTCTCCAGAAAAAGGGAAGCCAAAGGCAATGCTATGATTAGCCAGCTGCTTTCTACTCCTGCCTGTTGCCTTCATAGAGGCTTAAAATGCTGGTGATATTTTGATGTACCTGCTGCTGGTACATCTAGAATGGAGGGCAGGGAGGGAGATGCTCAGCAAATGCCTGACCCCCTACCTTTTAATCTGGCTCAGGATTTATTAAGTTATGGTACCAAAGACACTCACCATTTGTTATGATGGCACTTGTAGCTGCAGGGACTTTGAACTACGGGGGGAAAAGCATAAAACAATATTTAAAAAAAACCACAATATCTGAGCAGTCCTTCTCCCAGTATGCCTTATACAAAAAGACTATCAGTATGATTCTGCTTTTCTTAGAAAACAAATTTCTACCTAGAAAAAAAACATTACATATTTTAGGTAAACAAATGCAATCATGGGTATAGTGTTTGGAAATAAAACTCACTTCTTCTGCAGCAAATTTCAAGACAGCAGTGAAAGGTGTACTCTCAGGGACACTTAATCTACAGGAAATCACAATTAAAGCATTAGTTCCCTAACAGAAAGAAATGTGACCATGTCGCCATGAATTACTAGCTTTCTCTTAACACATTCTACAAAGATGGCACTAAGCCTAAAACATTGACCTGCAGAGGACTAGTGTTTGCCCTTCTTCATGACCCGTCCCACTTACGTGCCATTAAAAATAAAAGGCAGCCTCATCCAATGCCAACCAGGAACCAACCCCGTTGAAGCCTGAAGTGGTCAAGCCATGCTCCTCAGCGCTTCAGGAAAGGAGGTGAGTCTGGCTGCATTACTGCTGCAAGTCAAGTGCATGACATTTGCAAAGCATCACGGGCCATGTGAAATTCAGCCATGGTCCCGCCTCCCCTCCCCACACTGGAATAGTAGGAAAAACCTCTTAAAATGAACCAGAGGTCACTTAAAACATGTTGTGGCTGAGGGAGGACTGCGGTGTCACGCCATGGCTTTAGTTTCCCAGTTTGCTTTGGACAGCTTGAGAAGGCTACTTTTGAGGGAGGGGGCAGCTCCTTTGCTGCCTGGGCAGTGAGGTGGGGGTGGCTGCAATCCAAGAGCACCCCGAGGGAAGAGGCAGCCGCGTCGATTTCTTGTACCAAACACCAGAAGAGGAAGTTTTGATTTAGGGGATGATGCCTCTGAAAGTGCGGGGCTGGACACCCCAGAAGTTGCTGACGAGGATCTTCTTTCGGGGCAGGAGAGGGACTGAGCCCAGAAGGGACACTCCTGCAGCTGTTTTAATGCTCAGAGAGATTTTCCAGCCCTTCCACCCAGGGGATAAAAACCAAGGCTTAAAGAAAAAAAATCAATTTAAATTTTAAAAAATCCGGCGTTAATATTTAAGTCATTTAAAAAGTTCGATTTTTAAATCGTAAAAATAATCCCATTTTTTATTTACTTTAAATGGGATTTAAATCAAAACCACCCTGCCCTCCACCGGCTCCTGGGACCCTTTTCCTAGGGCGTTGCCTGGCAATTCAAAACCGGACGTGACGTCACCGTGCTGCCCCCCCTCCCCTCCACCCCACCGCACTCCCTCCTAGGGGAGACGTGTCACACGGGCCCGCGCATGCGCCCTAGGCAGAGCCACTGCCGTGCCTCGGCCAGGGCAAGACTCACACTTTGTAAGGCAGCCGCGGGTCGGAGGTGAGCGTGACCTTGAAGGTGACCTTCGCCCTGCCGGGGGGGGGAAGGAGACAAAGCGCGGTTAGCACCCGGGCCGAAGAAACGCGACCCGAAACGGCCGAGGAGGGCGAGGCGGCCGCCCGCGTACTCACATCGTCTCCTGTCGCCGGGGAGGCTCCTTCGCGCATGCGCGGGTGCCCTTTCCGGGCGCTCCCACGAGCTACGAAAGTGTAGAGAACATCCGTGTTGTCTGAATAGGCGACTTCCGGGTTGCCGTTGGCGAAAGGACCCCGTCCTCTCTCTCCGGAGCGCTCTTCGCCATTGGCCCCGCCCTGCCGCGGCGTCAGGCCGGGGAGTTGCCATGACAGCGGCGCTTGGCGGAAGCGGAACCCAGCCCCTCCGACCGGAAGCGGCCGCGGCCGGCCCGGATCCGCCATGAGCAA